TATATATATATATATATATATATATATATATATATATATACAGTGTAACCCGGATATAAGAGACCTGGATAGAAGAGAAACCCGGATATAAGAAAGATTTTCTCTGGTCCCAAATTAGAGCCTGTGTTAATGTATATAAAATAGACCAAACCCGGATATAAGAGAAACCCGGATATAAGAGACTTCTTCTCCAGTCCCAAAAATTTGGAAAAAACAAACCAAAAATCCTTAAATGCAATTATGTTGTTTAAAATGAATGAAATGTCGACGTCTGACGTTTCGGTTTAATAAACCTTCTTCAAGACAATATTTGAAAGCGTCGCCCATGTGACGACAACGTGACCATGCTTAACGGAAAGCTGATCATTTTTAAAATTTTCAGTTATCTGTTTTGGATAAGACTTGTTTTTTATGCCCATCGTCTTTATTTATTAATCCAACAGATTTTTATTGCTTAAACTATATTTAATATTACTTATTAAAAACTATATTTAATATTACTTATTAAAAACTATATTTATTATTATTTGTTAAAGGCTATGTGTGTGTGTATGTGTGTGTGTGTGCGTACTTTATACTAAAGCTTACGCAATACAAGGTTCAAGAACCTTTTTTGATAGAGTGCTTCTATACGAGATCTGTGATAAGAGGAGGTAGAACAAAGAGGATATTATGGGGATAAACAGCTATTGACACTTGGCTTGAAGAGGGTAAATAGTAGTGTTCAGGAAACCAACCACGCGGGTGTTTGTTCCAGAAAGTAGCAGGTCTAATCTATTTTAGAACTTCATCCTTACTTATGGAATACGGTAGAAATGTGGGTGATTCGACTCAGTGGATGCATAATAGTGTGTGTCTGTCTGCATACACTCAAAATATGTATAATTCCATATCGTCATCATCATCATTTTCATCATCATCAGTTCAACGCGCCCAGTTCGCACACCTCCCTGGTCTGTTTAGGGGTGTTGTTTCCTAGAAAAGAAGGGGCAAACCTCTTTAGGATTGAGTTCCTCCTTCATTCTAAAGTCTACTTCAGTTTTATATTCCTAAGGCTTCTCCTTCCCTACCCTAATTTAACTCCACAGCGTAATTCTCTATATTAGTGGCTCTTGGGCCTTGTTTTTGGTGAATATAGTAAAACTACTAATAGAGGACTTGACTGCAGAAGAAGCAAATTTTGATTTTTCTTTCGCGTGATCCTTTCAGATGGCATGGCGGCTCCCACCTCCTCCGTAAGCTCTTGACTGACAACTGAAGACAAGATATATGCTATGGGTCACTCTCGGTCCGTACACTAGACCCTCAGGCTTTAAGACGATAACCTACATTCTACAGTAAGGCCTCTGATCGGGGGTTTTCAGGAGCGTGGAACCACCTCTTCAATGATGTTCTTCCCGGGTGCTCCCTGACCCGGGATGTTTGCAACTGTTAAAATTTGAGTCAAACCACTATGGATTTTTATAGTCAAAATTACCAGCAGTACATTTTTTGAAAGAGAAATACCAACAATACATTTTTCAAAAAGAAATAAATATTACAATCAATACATTTAAAAAACTGACTCTCGACAAAAAAACTCTTTAGAAATATACGTTAATAAAACATGATCTACAAACAGATTTCTTACAAAGAATACATATTCTATTCATCCGAACCTATCCTAAAAATCGTATCGGCATTAAACAATTCATTAGTGTTGATAAGTCGCAAAACAAAATAAACCAAACAGGTTTTAAATTCAGGGCTTAAATTCTTCTCCTCGACTGGTTGCCTCCCAAGGCTAAAGGACACAATTTGCCCCGCCATTTACCCATAGATGAGGGGGAGAAGTGATGGATTCCTACTTTTCCCAGGGGTAAGAGAATGTAATAAACCTGACCATATTTCTAACTCAACTCTTTAATAATTTAATCCTAGCCATTAACCGTTAGTCTTCCGTATCTAATTTCTTATATATATATATATATATATATATATATATATATATATATATATATATATATATATATATATATATATATATATATATATATATATATATATATATATATATATATATATATATATATATATTCTCCCGTCGAATTCGACATGAGGGTCAAGAAGATCAGTACCAGGAAACTGATAGCCTGACAACAGCACATGAGATTTGATTATAGTGGTGAAGGTTTCGTTTCAGGACCATTCACACTTTTTGAAGGGCCGAATACAGAGACCTGGTGCACTACGTGCCACAAGGTCCCCAAACGACCCTCCGCAGGTTTTGAATTCAGAGTTGTCCTTCTAGACCAGTTGCCATCAAAGGCTATAGAACCCCGTCTGTCCTGCTGTTTATCCCTTTCCCAAGTGTATTAGCACGTAAGTGAATGTAATGGATTCGACTGGAATTTGAACTCGGCTATCCATTGTGCCGTTGCCATGTGTATATATATATATATATGCGTATATATATATATATATATATATATATATATATATATATATATATATATATGCATACAGAGAGAGAGATGGGGGGGGTTAAAACAGACTATAAAAATCAAAGATTTGGTTTGAATACAGTTCGTGGCTGATTAGCTTCGAACGTAATTTTATGCCTTCTGCTTTCAATTAATATGAGAATCAAAAGCAAATATATCTTTCTTAGTGATGGTAGAGATGGCAGCTTAGATTTGGCACAAGGCCAAAAGTATAGACCATTTAATGAGGATCGATCTCACTACTCATTCGTAATTGATCTAGTGACACAAGCTTCCTAACCATTACATCATGTCTAAGCACCCTAGCGATTTTCTAAACATAGCTTAAGCACAAGGCCGTAAGGATGGAGTGCCCAGTAAGGAACTCCCTATGCAGTTCTAACTGGTCTAGCGAGACAAGCTTGCTAAAAATACACTACATCGAAGTGCCTGGGGGGTTTTCTAATCGTAGCTTCGATGCTCCGAAAGTTTTGTGGCACCCAGTAAGGGTCTAATTCTTTATTCAGTTGCAATTCTTTTAGAGGGGACATGTTGCTAACCATTACATTACGTCGAAGTGCCTGGGTGATTTTCTAAGCTTAGCTTAGATGTGGCACGAAAGTATTAGGACACCCTATGAGGATCTAATTCACTACTTAGTCGCAATTGATCGAGCAAGACAAGCTTGTTAACCATTACGCCAATTCGAAATGTCCAAATCAACATGGTGGAGATGGGCTACAAAGGAAAGTCAGTTTCGTCTGGAGAACCGTGACGTTATGAAAAGAAGTCAAAAGTGTCGTTTCATTCCAGTGTGCGAAGCTCCGCGTGCATACATTTTCTCTTCTCACACATTTCTTTGATTGCCATAAGCAGATCTCTTCATTTTTTTTCTTTCTCCCTTTTAAGCTAATTAAAACGAACAAACAATGGCTTGCTGTATGTGTTGTACGGTTATTAACTTGAAGACCCGAATAAATCAGAGATTTAAACAGATTAAAGCGGCGGTGGGGTGTGGGGATTAAAGTTTTTGATTGGATTTTAAAAAAAAAAGCAAAAGAAAACAGATTTAAGGCTTTTGTTCCATCTTTTTGCTTTCTTTCTGCTTTTGTTTATTTTTGAAAATTGGTGCTATTTAAATAAATGAAAGTTTTGAAAACCTGGATTTAGACATTGTTCTTCTTTTTCTTCTTCTTCTACTACTACTACTACTACTACTACTATTACTAGACATGAAGAAATGACTTCACGCGACAGAGATCTGCTTCTTCAGAAGGATGTTGAAACTACGATGAACTGAGCATGTGAACAATGCGGATATCCAAATAAAAATGGAAACTGTCAGAACATTTATACATTAAATCAGAATAAGATATATTTAGGCAACAAATATTCACCTCAAGAAGTTCAAAATTCAACCAAATCCTGTCTGTTTAATTTTTTTATTGCATATTTTCTAATTGTCGAATAAGTTGTACATTTGCGATCAAAATTGTGCATCAGCAATCTGAGGTTCATATTGGTCCTATCATTTTTCTCTAAATATTTTCGTTCGTCTCTGTCATCATCAAGAACCAAGTGTTATCAGTGTGGTAGGCAATGTTATGTTGGCTTGCTTCTGGGATGTTGCAGACAGCTGAAGGTTCTAAAAAGTTCAAAGTGTCACTTTGGTTCTCGGCAAGAACAAAGACGGTTAAAATTACGAGCTATTGTTGGTTGACTTAGAAAGCTTCCTTCCAGCAGGAACAGATTCTCACGTGGATGCGTTTCCGAAAAAAACACTCTTAACTGCTTTCAGTTTATGGTCAACAGTTCTTCTTCTTTATATTCGGTA